CTATGTAGTGCAGGCTGACCTCCAACTTACTGTGTAGCATGGGGTGGCTTTGAACTCATGGTGATTCTCCTGCCTTAGCCTCTGAAGTATTGGGGTTACAGGTGTGTGCTACCACACCTGGCTTTTTTGTTGTTATTTGTTTGTTTTGAGACCAGAGTCTTGCTGTCTAGCTCATACTGGCCTTGAACTCACTATGTAACCCATGTTGGTGATCCTCCTGCCTAGCCTCTGAAGTGCAGGGATTATAGACATACACAATCATGCATGGCTCTCCCGTTTCCTCTTATAAGTGGGGATAAGAGTAGCATTTGCTACATGAGGTTAGTGTGTGGATCTAATGAAATTGGAAGTCAAATAAATACTTGTCAAAATCTGACAGCTCCTGTATGTTTAGTAAATGTAACTTTTAAATTTGTATCACAGTGACTCAGATCTGCGATCACTTGTATTGCCAAAAAATGGTTTTAAATTCAGAATCTGATGGAGCTAGGAGCCCTAGTCTGCCTGCTGTCAGATAGAGAACTTCCTCAGCCCCAGTATATCTATGGAAACTCTCCTGTAAAGCACTCTGGCTGGGAAAGTTGTATCAGTGCTGAGTCAAGACCACAGGCTCCCTGCTTTCTGGTACAGAAATATGATCTGATCCACAGCCTCGTCAGCTGAGGTTGCAGGGCTCTAGGCCTGACACCAGTTGATTTCTTCAAGACACCAATCCCACAAGTCCTAACCCAGCCTAGTGGCTTAGAGGAGGTTTTTTTTCTATTGGTGTGTTGCAGATAGGTCACTTACACTTTGGATACTGATCCTAAGGGCAGTTGATTTATTTATTCTGAGTGTGTGAGCTGATGTGAGTGAACCTGTTATGTTCCACTGCTTTTGGGGATCCTTTCTTACCTCTCAGAGCAGCAATCCCCATTCTGTTGAATACTAAGAAATTTTGGCTTGGGGAAGCTATTGTAGTTCTTTATTTTTTTTAAATTTTATTTATTTATTTATTTATTTATTTATTTATTTATTTTTCCAGAACCGGGATTGAACTCAAGCCCTTGTGTTTGTCAGGGAAGTGCTTATTCCACTGAGCTATCTCTCCAGCCCCTTTTTCTTTATTTTTTGTGGTATTGGGGATTGAACTCAGGACCCTGCGCTTGCCAGCCAAGCACTTATTCTACTGAGCTATCTCCCTGGGCTGTAGTTGTTTATTGATACCAGAATAAGAGCCAGTCTCTACTTTGATGAACACCTATTCTATTTGGTTCTAACTAATTACTACTCAAGCTCAGTTGCTCAGAAGCTAGTATTCTAGCCAGTGCTGGACTTCACTTAAAGGACAGATAACAGAGAACTATAGGGGCTTTGAAAGGACAGCTCTGTCTTTGGTGTGTTTACACCCTCATTTTATTTTATTTTATTTTTTTGACGTATGCAAGCCCAAAACTGGGTTGGAACGTTTTGATGCCAGAAAAATCACTGGCTGTCCTCAGAAGCAGCCTCCTATCCATGAGGATGGGGTTGTGTGATGGGGTTGTCCCTGCTGCACTTCCTCCTCTCATGTTTTCTCCCTGATAACTGAGGATTTTGGTTTTGCTGTAAGTGTAGCAGCCAAATTGGCTTCGGTGGTAGTTACTGTATTTGAGGGGCTTTGAGGAGCCTCCTTTGATACATAAAGGGGCTGGGAAGACTTGGACTAAATATCAGGTTCCAAACAGCCATGTAGTTTTTTTTCCCCCCCTCACCCTGGGGGTTGTGGTGAATTAGTTTAGGCTGGAATAGAACTTGAGGGAAGGAAAGGGCCTGTGAAGTGGCTGGTCAGAGGACCCTCCTTTTTGTTCAGAGACCTTACTGAAAAGAGCCTGGTGGCAGAGAAGAGCCTTAGTCCCTTGGCCTTCATCTGGATCAACTTTAGTCTGGGGAAGGTGTGTGGGTGTGTGGATGAAGTGGACACACTGTCATTTGGGAGTATTTCCTTGTCGGAGAGAGCTTCAGGT